AAAAAAAAAAGCCCACAAAAACAGAAACAAAACTAAACAAGAACTGCCTGTAAACCCAACACCCAGTGATAACTACTGTGAACTTTTTGGTGTCTATAGTAGTTATTAAAAGTAGGTAATACTTACAGATTCCCGAAGGTACCCTTGCCCAGCAACATCATATAAACTGAGTCCTATTCTTGTTTGATGAAGCCAGACTGACAAATAAGAAAATGAAATGAAATTATTAAGATCTATCCTTTGGCATACATATGGAAAAAGGAAATGAAGAGCTATATTTGAGACAAGCTAATCCAATAACTCCAAAAACATATTGCTTCTCTGTTACAGAATCAGTAACCCCAGAATTGTATGAAACAAAAAAACATACAATAGAATGGTAAATTTCAACAATTCTACCATGACTAAAGTTACAATAAAATTGATGCCCTTGAGGATATCATTTTTTACCTATTAAACTTAGTGTTCCACCAGAAGGGACAGCTAGTATAATACTGTGCCTTCAGTGAAGCTGTTGTTGGTTAATTACAGCAACTAAGTATTAGTTAAAGATGGTACACAATAGGATTTCACAGATCATTAGGGTACTTCTCCAAGTTGTTTAATAGAAGTTCCTTGAAACTGATGCTATAGTTGTGGATTTGAAACTATCCTTTCACACAACTCAACCTGTAATGTATTGATGAAATAAAATTACCAATAAATTAAAATTATTTCAAATCATCACACTTTAAAAATCTTGCTTCAGCTTTTAATGTTTCTAGTTTGCTGCTATCTTTAGGATACATGAAAGTTTTTGTTTTTTTTTTTAAATAATAGTGAACCCAAATTTATCACGGAAAATCACAGCTTCTAGTAAGCTCCATGAGAGAATCATAATAATAGTATAACAAATCTTAGTCAAAAGATAAGAAATTCTGCTATTCAAACTGAGAGAGTTGTTTCACATAGAAGAAATACTATAAAAGCACAGACCAAAAGCTACTTGATTCTCAGATAGAAGAGGCTTAAAGCACAATAAAAATGAATCACCTTTTCTCATGACATAATTAAAGAACTGCATGATGGAAATTCTTCCATATGAATCTGTATGAAGGAGTTTAGCAAAGACTTTTGCTGTGAAAAATTGCCTAAGAAAAGGAAATAAAGATTAAAATAATTTGCCAACATAATATAAAAATACTTTCTATATGAATTAGCAAACAGCATAAATTCACACAATTGAAAATCAAAGTGAAAAAAATCAGTGAGAACTACAGAGACTCACTTATAGTTCAAAAACTTAAAATATTAAGTCATACACTTTGCATTGATTCTTTTGTCTTAAGAATGAAAGCTTAAAGTGTCACATAAACTATATTATTTCTTTTAATAACTCATACCAATGTAATTTCTTCTTGACTGTATATAATTTTATTAAATTTCATTAGTAACTCAAATTGATCCAAATGTCATACCACTGACTTCAATTTTCAAAATTTGAGGCATTTAAAATGCTTAACTGCCGGGCGCGGTGGCTCACGCCTGTAATCCTAGCACTCTGGGAGGCCGAGGCGGGCGGATTGTTTGAGCTCAGGAGTTCGAGGCCAGCCTGAGCAAGAGCAAGACCCCGTCTCTACTAAAAATAGAAAGAAATTAGCTGGACAACTAAAAATATA